GTTTAACTTTAGTTTAAGTATAGTTTAAACACGCTTTACGCCGGATATTTATTAGTTTGGGTTAATCGTATGACCGCGGTGGCTGGCACGAAATTTACCAACCCTCATGTATCTAGTATAACTTAGTCGAACTTTCGTTTATTGCTTAAATTTTGTTACTGCTGTATCCCGTGGGGGTGTGGTTGAGCAAGGCGTTATGAGCTACTGTATTAGTGTGCTTGATGTCGGCTCCTTTTGGTCTATTGGGACCTAGAGGGCATTCTCACTGGGAGGCAGATACTTGCATGTATAATTTTACTAGAAACTAATAAGAAGGCTAGGACCAAACCTTTGTGTTTATGGGGCTTGAGCCCATCTAGGCATTTTCAGTGCCTTGCTTTAATAGTAAGCTACATCAACTTATATTATTTATAGGGCTAAAGTATTATGTTAGTATCAATTAGTGTTAGGGCTGTTAAGTGAATAAAAAGGGAATAAGATTTTAGGGGGTTAGGATTTAGATAGGAATTTAGAGGGTGTCTAGTTAGTTAATTAATAATGTTACTTGAGAAATATGAATTTAGTTAGGGATTTCATTTCTCAATAGGGACATGGCTCTGTAATTCAATAAAATACACATAAGCAAAGAATATAATTGGGTGTGCGTGAGTTATCTATATGAACTGGCGTAATTCTCTTGTTTTTGGGGTTTGGTAGGAGTATATCTTTGCGTTAGTGATATTATAGTAACGGGGGGTAGGGGGGGTTTGCGTATATAATCCTATTATATATTATATTCAACGCGCGTACGTGTACGTGTACGTGTACGTGTACGTGTACGTGTACGTGTACGTGTACGTGTACGTGTACGTGTACGTGTACGTGTACGTGTACGTGTACGTGTACGTGTACGTGTACGTGTACGTGTACGTGTACGTGTACGTGTACGTGTACGTGTACGTGTACGTGTACGTGTACGTGTACGTGCGTGGGTATGTGTATTTGGGTGTAGTGGTGTGCGTAAATATGTTATGTCCGTCGAGCATGAATTAAATAGCAGCTCATGAATATGCAATGAGGAAATACAATACACAATTTGGGCATGTCTACAATTGAATTGTCTACATCCAGGCCTCCTGGCCTTGCTGAGTCAAGACTCCCCCCCCTTAAAAATTAAAAATACCAAATGCATTTAATTCTCCCGTGACTGGAAAAGAGGGTGTACGGCCCGTTACCATCGTGATGTCTTATTTGAGAGGAACGAGTGGGCGATTCTAGGTGTTATGGCCCTGAAGTAAGAGCCAGATGTCAGATATAGTTTCAGTCTAGCTACCCCCAAGTTTTATGGGCCCGGAGCGAGAAGAGGGATCCGAATTGGATGAGGTTGCTGGTTTCACGGAGGATGGTAGTACCCGAGTAATAATGGAAGGGGATAGTCGTGTGGAAGAGAATTAGTTTAATCGAAATGGTGTATGTCTGATAACACATTTGTTATCCGTTTGGTTACATGGATAATTGATTCTTGTTGAATATTCCTGTGTGGGACGAGTTCCAGTTGATTAGGGTTTTCTAGTCTTGGAGAATTAATTTTTCCTGTACATGCTTATATGCATGGGGCAGATAGATTAATGCACGATTAAACATGTATGTAATTTTTTTTCTTTCCCCTGTTGCTTCAGAAACTGAATTAGATGGATCAATTCCCAAACTAATCTTTGAGAATGTGTTTCTATTTATTTATTTATGCTAAAGATGTGGGGGTACAATTTAGGATTAGATATACAAGTTCTCCTCTCTCTGGTCCCCACTTCGCCTGGTTGGAGATTTTAGGTACTCTTATTGATATTGTGTTCCCTCCCCTCGGTCCCCTGGCAGTTTCCCACTACTGTCAATTCCCTTCTTAAAGTATTATGAAAATGTTCAGGATCTGCTTATAAGTGAGAATATGTGGCTCTTAGTTATTTATTTCTGTAATAGTTCACTTAGTATTATAGACTCTAAATTCATCCACGTTGTTGCAAAGTCCATAATTTTGTCCTTCTTTATGGAGAATCTGTTAATAAAAACAGAGCCACAAAATAATTCCCACAAGTTTAGCTTTTTTTAAAGTGCTTAGTTACAAAGTATAAGGAGGAATAAAAAAAAAAAAAATACCAGGCCATGTAGCATAGCTACATGCAATGAAAATCACAAAGATTCTATTCATTCAATGAAAGACTAGTACCAACCAGAGAATCTCATCCTGTGTATGATGCCCATCTGCAGTACTGAGAATTAATTGACAGATAACTATTCTGTCTCGGGTTTGTTAGATGCAAGAGAATGGATCCAATGAAAACTATGAGATTTCAGTCATGGCTATCATCGAATTACAACTTTATATTACAACCAGTGCTTATAATTTTGAGGAATAAATAGATTTCTCAGCAAATTTGAATTTGATGTCAATTTGATGTTTGAATTTGATTGTTGAATTTAATGTTTTCTATTTAAACACTAACCATACATTTTTATTGTTAAAATAACATATTTAGTGAATAACAGCGTGGCTATGTAAATAATAAAAATATCATAAACATGTTGCAAAGGAAAAGTAATTTTAATCACATTTAAGATAAGTTTAAACAGCCTAACATTTGTTACCTTATTGCATGACCTTTAAAATATAGCCAATATTCTACTGGTCAGTTAACTAATCTCTGGGAATATGTAGCTCAGTTAGTGGTCCATTTCTTCATTGTTTTCTGATAGCCTGTATTATCTCCATAGATGTTTGGCGTAATTTTTTTTCTGTACATTTCCCTTTTCCAAATAGTTCTGTCTTCTGTCAGAACACAGTGGAAGTTTGGTTTAGTTCTCAATGGGGGAACTTCAAGTTTTGCACCTGAGTATAGATCAGAAATAGTTATACAAAATAAAATCAATAATTCACAGACTGAAGTGTTTTGATTTTCAATAAACAGAAACACCAGAAGGAAGCTAAAGACAGGACCAATTTTAACCTCTTGTCTCTGCCCATAGACCTCTCTCCTTCCAGATCACTTGCTCAATGCCTTCTCAGGCACAATTTTTTTTCTACATCATAATGAAATACCCCTTTATTTTCCTGCCATTCGTAAGGTCCTTTTTTGCGTTTGTTTATTAATAATTATGTAGCATTCACATATGCATCTGATCAATAGAGAGATAAACATATTTCTTATACAAAATAAAACAGTAAGGTTTGAATTGCATCAGAAATCTTTTAATAAGAAATTAGAAGTGGGACTCAGATTGAGTAAAATCTCTTCAGATTGCATATGCGTTCCCAAATAAATACAGTATAAGCATATTGAATAATATTGCCCATTTCTAATATTTCAGTATTCATTTCTAACACACTGTCTAGAATTATTTTAACAATCTGAATACCCCATTAAATAGCATGCAAAACACTTTCCTATATTCTTTTTTTTTTTTTTGAGTTGGAGTCTCACTCTGTCACCCAGACTGGAGTGCAGTGGCCACTCCCAGCCATCGCAGCCTCGACCTGCTGGGCTCCGGCGATCCTTCCACCTCAGCCTTCTGAGTAGCCGGAATTACAGGCGCGTACTACCACGCCTGGCTAATTTTTTGATTTTTTTGTAGAGATGAGGTCTCGCCTGGCCAGGTGGGTCTCGAACCCGCAGGCTCAGGCAATCCACTCACCTCGGCCTCCCAAAGGCGCAGGATTACAGGCTGAGTCACCGAGCCTGGCTTATTCTTTTCATTTAGTGTAGAAGGAATAGAAGGAATTGATATATAGAAGTGGCATTTATATACCAGCTATTAAAATACTATGATTTAAATAATAGCATTTGATACAGTGATGTAAATTGGAATTTTCATTGTAATTTCATTTATTTAAAAAAAAATTATTAGCCATTATGGCTTCTGCCACATTCTTTCTGGGATACATTTATGTTAGAACATTTTACTTTATTTTCTATCTTTTGACTCTCTACTTTTCATTTCAAATATTTACTTCTGAACTATTTTAGAGTTTAAAAATTTTCTATCCCTCCTTGTCAAATTTGCTATTACACCCTTAGATCTCGTTTTTACTTTACTTATTGCATTTTACATTTTAGAATTTTACTTTGATTATCCTTGAAATCTGTTATTTTTTTATGGTTTCCAGTTATCTGCAACATTCTCAGTCTTGTATGTAATCTCTTTGAACATGGTCAGTATAGCTACTTAATTAACATTATTGATATAGAATATGTACTTTAAAACATATATACATACATGTATATAGACACTGTGTGTCTCTATATAATACTTGCTCTAATATATATAGTACATAATATACAAATATATAATGGCCATATATGCACACATACATATACACATGCATATACAAATGTATATTATGTGTGTGTGTGTCAGTATGTGTCAAAACCATTATGAAGAGTACTAAAAATGGGGTTAATAATGAATATCTCAAAGGTTTATTACACAAATTAAAAGTGATCATATATGTGAGATTATTATTAGAGTTCCTAATATATAATAAACACACATAAATTGATTTTGTTTTAGTAAAATTAAAAGTGACAGTATATAATGTAAAATATAAAGAGCTTTGGATAATGATACTGTTTTCTCCAAAGGCAAATGATAGCAAAGAAAAAGATGAGCCTTTGATATCAGATATTGTTGGATTCTGCTTGGTTTCCTCAAATATTATCAGTTTGACTTTGGGCAAATTACTAGGCCTTTCTGTTTTTCCACTTTCTGACTTTAGAAAATGAATTGAACAATACAGACTTTGCAGACTGATTTGAGACTTCAATATAATATATGTAAGGTCCCTGGCATACCAGGCATGTAGCAGGAATTTACCTTCATCATCATAACTATATTCTAATCTATATTTCAGGTTTTCCAATTTTGTTAATATTTGAAATTAGTAGTATGATTGTGTTTGCTAGCCACTTGGAACATATTCTAAAGTGTAAAATGGTTAAGTGATTCTCACTCTTTTGTCTCTTTTGTAGTTTTTGACGCTTTGCCACCCATTCGCTATCAGGAGACAATGAGTACCATCCGGACATGGATCCAGCAGTCAGAAACCAAACTCTCTATACCACAACTTGGCGTCACCGAATATGAAATCATGGAGCAGAGACTCGGAGAGTTGCAGGTCTGCGGATATATAAATGTCAAAACACTAAAGCATAGATCTCATTCATCAAGCAATCACATGGTTGCAACCTTAAAATAACATGTAATTCAAATAATTGGGCAAGTATGATAACTTGTCAGTTGAACAAATGAAAATGTGACTTAAAAAATATAATTTATGCAATTTGCCTTCTCTCTCTCTCTCTTTCTCCCTCTCTTTCTATATATTTATTTTATATTCAGTATATATTATATATAATAAAATATTGTTTTATGAAAACAATGATATATTTATGAAGTATATTTTTAGTGTAGTATGCATTTTCAGATGTTGATTTTGATTATTAGAAAAAAAACATAACAATATATTCCCCCTTTACTTCCTTATTTATAACTCAGCTCATGTAGTCAGCAGACTGGTAATATCAGTGTATAGTCATCCCTTGATATCTGTGAAGGAACAGTTACAGGAGTGAAAAACTGGAAATTAATCGTTGGTCCTAGTAATGGAAAATGGTTAAATAACTAGAGAAGCCATTGCAATTTTTGTTTTTGAAAAATACCTAATGGCATAGGAAAATGCTCACAGGGAAATGCCTAGCTCAAAATGTAGTTATATGCTAGATATTGTCTAAATAGGCATGGGGGAACAAATTACTGAAGAGAATTAAAAGTAAAGAAACTAAATTAACCACCATAAAATAGGCATAGACTCGTATGCAACTATAAAAGTTATGTGTTTTATACATGTTTTAGATGATATAGGTCACATTATAAAAGAAGAAATAACTATATATGTGTCCATATAATATGATGATATATTTAATATTTAGTTAAATGTAGAAAAACTGAAAGTCTATATAGAATCTTAATAGTTGTAAATGGGCATGCTTTTCATTTTTTATCATCAACCTTTATTACTTTATAACCAGAAAATAACATTGAAATAAATGTTGAGTAGGAGAAGCCTAAAGATAATAGTTCTGCTATAAGAAATTTTATATATTATGCAGGATAAATATAAAATAAACTTTAAAAATTCTTCCTAAATCACCCTAGAATTTTTTCACAATATTTCAAACAGAATAGGATCTTTTGAAAATATAGAATGTTCCTTAAATGTCATTAGTAGACCATCAATTTCATAACTTATTCAATGAGTGTGGTTATGACATATATCAATTTGATTAGTTATAGTTTTATGTAGGGAGGCTAGAGATTGTCTTACTGAAGCCACAGTATAATTAACTTAAACTACATTAACCGTATCATAAATGCAGATATTTATATGAACATCCTTAATTCAGTAAAATTAAGTGTGCTAAAACCCTTCGGTTCAGTAAGATATAGTTTTGGACATATTTGATATTGTCTACAAAATAGTCATGGATCATTAAATAAAATATCACTAAGTAATCTCCAAGTTATTCTCATGATAAAATGTAGAATTTAAATTGCCAATAGATTTTTATCAGTGGTATAATATCATCTACTTTGCTTGCATTTGAATTACATAGATTTCAAGTACTTAATTTAACTGAAACACATCAATCATTATTCATCAATTACTATAAATGTACTATATTTTAAATTTTGAGGCTCTACAAAGTTCCCTGCAAGAGCAACAAAGCGGACTAAACTATCTCAGCACCACTGTAAAAGAGATGTCAAAGAAAGCACCCTCTGAAATTAGCCGGAAATTTGAAGCAGAATTTGAAGATATTGAGGGACGCTGGAAGAAGCTCTCCTCCCAGCTTGTTGAGCATTGTCAAAAACTAGAGGATCACATGAATAAACTTCGGAAAATTCAGGTAATTCAAGATTTTACTTTTATTATTTACTTTTATTCCAAAAAATGCTTTGTAAAACATAAAGATATATAGACATTTGACCTCCAGAGTCCTTCAAAGTTAACAATAAGATAAAAAGAAAATTACAAAACCTTCCCCAAATTTTGCCTATTTCTTCTAAGAAAAGAGCAATTAAGAGTTGTGCTTCTTAGACTTTTTAAAAATGAATTTGCTGTTTTCACCAACACCAACAGGTCTTAAACTTTTTTAGCTTAATAATTTACAAAATAAATCATTCCTTTAGTCTGTCTTTTGAGGTACAGTTTTCATTAGGCTTAAGACTACATAAAACATTGTAATATAATATAATATAATATTCATTGATTTTGTCACCATTTTAAACTCATAATTATATGTTTATATTTTACCCTATCACCTTCTTTCTCAAACCAACTTCTACTGACTTAATTTGTTTTAATAGTACCACTCTACTCACCGAAATTAAAACTAAACACAGTTATATTATATTCTAAAAGTCTAAAATATTTAATGATGTAGGTAATGTGTACCTTCGGTGGTCAATTTTTGAGAAAGAAACTTTGAAAACATCATGGTATGTTGAAAAAACACAAAGGAACGGGATACTTTTAAATACACAGTTAAGTACAGCAGCTTAGTTTTTTGTTCTTAAGTTTTACAAACCTGACACTAAGAAGTTCTAAAACATTCTTTAAAGGACAACATACAAATATACGTTTCTTCTTATAAATCTATGTGGACATGCATAATGCATGACTACTACATGAAAACACATATTATTTGCCAGGACCAATGGCCAAAGAGGGTACAGTTACAAGGCTCTTGTCATCAAAGGGCCCACAATTTATTGAAGGAGAAAGGTAGGTCTATCAATTTCAAATTATCATCATAACAAATTACTACCAATTTAATACCTCCAAGCAATATAAATTTATTATCTTACAGTTCTGCAGGTGAGAGATCTAAAATCAATTTCAGTGGGCTAAAATCTAGGTAAAATCAGGGCTGTGTCCCTTCTGGAGACTTTAAGAGGCAATCCGTTTCTTTTGCATTTTTAGCTTCTAGGAAATGTTCCTTGGCTTATGTCCCTATGCATTTTCCAAGTCAGCAGATTAACACTTTTCACTTTTCAACACCTCTCCCCCACCCCCTGCAG